TCACTGAAATAGCTATTTAGATAAGTGTTTCTCAACCACTAATAAATCAGGCCCTATAGAGTCTAGTGTGCCCCTAATAAAGCTTACTATTATTTATTTAAGTTATATAAGCATAATCTTCATTTGAAATGCTAAAAACACTACAAATAAATAAGTTTTCATTAAACAGACATATATTATTACAGAAGTATCAGCTTAGATAGAAGGGCCTTCACATATTGTCTTGACATAGGGGGACTTTGTTTTAAAAAATTCAGGTTGAACCTAGACCAGAATGACACATTGATCATTAATAGGAGACGTTATCGCCGATAATTTGTTTTTCCATCTGTCTTCAGGTTTGGATAGTAATTACTGTAATGGAGTTTCATCAAGTAAAGGCCACACCTTGACCCACAGTCACAAATCGTGTCCCCCTACCCTGTCAAGTCCCGAGCTGGGTGTCCTGAATGGTAGTCGGGGCCAGCAGACCAACGTGAGGTATGTGAAGAGGGCATGAAATGATGAAAGGAAAATTCATCCTATCTGTTTTGTTAATGCATGTTATATATTAATTGGGAACAATTCATCCGTATATATGCTTCATTTTTTTTTTTTACCTTGTCATGTTTAATCAAATAGTCAAATGGATCTTCCGGTGAAATTATATATTCCTCTAATCAAGTATGGCATGCTTCTCCAATCATTTAATTTGCTTAAACCCCTCTCCTCAACAATCGACTTCAATCTCACATTAGTTTTGTAGTGCAATGGCCACATCTCAAAATCAAAACCGATCGATAGAGTCCCCTACCTACATTTATTTATTTTTATCTGTTGCACTTGTATGTACTTCACAATACAGAAAAAAAGATGGGTCACTACTTCTGTTTGATCGCAACTTCTTTATACCGACTTCTTAATACCGAAGGGCAAATGATATAATAACATGACTGTACAGCACAGAATAAGCCTCATATTGGCTCTTCCTTGCAGTACTGAGGTGGAGATGGAGGTTGATCACTTCTCAAACGGAGTGTCTGAATCCTCTTCAAATGGATTTCTGAATGGTAGCTCTACACATGGGACAGAGCTGGAAGATTGTGATGCAGATATGGGTGAGTAGGTTAATTGGGCACGATCTTCTGTTAAATTCCTGTGTATCTGCAATGAGATTTGTAGTAAAGAGGTCAAAGGTCGTTGTTTTTTTCCCCCTGTGTGATCTGTATTACGAAACTGATGCTGTGCATGTGACTCCTAATCAGTTGGCCAATTATGTTATGCAAATGAATCCAGTGTGCCATTTTAAAAGGATTAAATGCTTTGTACACAGAAGTGGACAGCACTCAGTCTAAGAGGCAGTTGTGCGGCGGGAGCCAGGCAGCCATCGAGAGGATGATCCAGTTTGGCCGAGAGCTACAGAGCATGAGCGAACTCTTGCGCCGTGAGCGGGGGAAAAACTCGGCCAATAAGAAGATGCTGAAGGTGATTTCTTCTACTTGTTCTGAAAGTTGTATGTAGGTGCTGTTTGTATCTAATCACATTTATTAGAAAAAAATGAATGAAATGAATTTTGGTTATGATGGTAATGACCAGTAAACATGAAGATATATGTGTTTTATGATAAAGCCTATTACTGTTTCCATTCCTGCAGGATGCATTCAGTTTGCTGGCATATTCAGATCCATGGAACAGCCCCGTGGGCTATCAGCTAGATTCCATCCAGAGAGAGCCTGTCTGCTCTACACTCAACAGTGCAATATTAGGTATAGCATCAGTCTTTCTATCACCTTTGATTAAATCAGAACAATTAAGTTCCACCTAGTCACCGCAATGATTCAGCACTCTTTCAGCACTGAGCAAAGCTCTTTAAGCTCCGAATTAATCGAGTGAAAAAGCCTAAGTGAGCAACATAATGCTGTTTATTGATAAAAAATCAATATCCCTGTAGTACAGCTAAGTCATGGTGCTGCAGGACCCCTTTGGAAGGATCCTTGCATGCACATATCACAAGCACACATATTTTGTATGGATAACTGTCTAGTGGCACATGTTAGTATGCAAATGTTGCATTACAATTTAAACACATTAATATGAAATGCATGTATTTAGTTTATTATCTCATCTCTCTAGGTCAGGCTCATATAGCATTAGTAATATTGGAGTATTGGTTTATATATAGCATTAGTAGCATTTGCACAACTTAAAAAATATATGTTTTCCCCCTAACTTTTAAATTATAGTTTACACAATTTAAATATAAAATAAATACTCAAATGCATATCACAGTGTGATATGACAGTGTGGAAAGTTCTCAAGCTGCACTGACAGCGAAAAAAGAGTAGCAAAAAACACAAGCGATCAACAGAATACTGGAAATATTATCCTGTTTCTTCTGACAATAAGCATCTAGATGTTTTTTTTTTTTTTTTTGGCTCCGAATCCGATACAAGAGATGCAGTTTTAAGCAATATTATTTGTAGTTTTTTTAAGAGGTTCACTAAGGCTGCATTTATTTGATGAAACATACAGTAAAACATTAATATTGTGAAATAGTATAACAATTTAAAGTTTTTAATGTTGTTTATATGCCTAATGTGGTGTTTTTTTATATATGCTTTAGGACAAGCCATGTGTATTTTGTCTTTAGATCACTGCAATTTTAAAGATAGTCTCAAAACGCTGTTTGAAATCACTGGTGTTTCTTGCGTCACAAACTACATTGTAACCAATCACACCAAAATACAGACGGGCTTTAGCATATCATTAACTATGGTGGGAAGTCTCAAGAGAAGCCAGGTTATCCCGGTATATTTTTGTACATAGGAAAAATTACTAATTACTGGTACATTTAGCAATATAGCAGGTGTGTTATGTATAGAATGTCAGTGGAGAAAGGCCTATAGTTCATCATAACATCCTAATATACATTATATTACGATGTTATGATGAACTATATGCATTTCTGCACTGACGTTCTAAGTTGTTCAAAGCGTTGGATGTTGATTTTTAGAAGGCAGCTGTCTGACTCTGAGATGAAGAACGGGAACATGATTTATGTAACATTAGCAACACATTAGCTGTGTGATAATGTAGTCAAGCAAAAGGCTAATCTTATTAATTACAGTTATGTGTCTGACGTTTTAAAGAGCGATACCATTGTGGAGCGTTTACCTCTATAAAGTTGACCAACCGAGTGGATCTCTGAGCTGGTTTTCATTTTTTAAACGAAGCAAGTGTGTAGAGGAGGTGTTCCAAACATTTTTATTCATTTTGGTGATTAAAGGTGTGTTTTAGGGGTTAAATTATTGACTTACAGGGGGACTTTAAAATGTCTGCTTTCCATTTTAAATAATTTATTCCTGTGATGGCAAATCATCTTTACTCCAGTCTCAATATCCCTCAAAAATCATTCTAATATGCTGTGCTCAAGAAACGTTTATTTTTATTATAAATGCTGAAAACAATTGAGCTGCTTAGTATACTTGTAAAAACCTTGATACTTTTATTTTCATTAAATAATAAGAAGTTATTTATTTGAAATAGACGTCTATTATAAATGTCTTTCTCACTCTGGATCAATTTAATGCATCCTTGCTGAATAAAATTATTTGTATTGACTCCAAATTTTTGAACTGTAGGTTATATTATTGTTTATCATGAATATAACAATTTTAATATTTTCATTTCAGCATTCAATCAATGTTTTTCTTTTTTTTTTTTTCTCATACAGAGACTCATAACCTGCCAAAGCAGCCTCCCTTGGCGCTCGCTGTTGGTCAGGCAGCTCAGTGTCTGTCCGTCATGGCTCGCACGGGCAGCGGATCCTGCGCCTTTGCATCAGTGGATGATTACCTGCACTAACCCCTGGAGAATCATTCCTTTAAATGACCACGTGAAAGAGGCCCTAATCATCCCAGTCCATCCCAGACTCCCAAATAAACTGGGGCCAACTTTGGCTTGATGAACTGAGCCTTCATATGGCCAGACCCATCCTGGCTCTCTTGATAAGACTGGATCCTCCTCACCCAGACCTAAACTGGGCCTAAAGACACATTAGGAGATGGGTCCTTAGAAGTCAGATAAAATCCCCAATCATTATGGTCTTTTTCTTTCTTTTTTTTTTTTTCGTTGTTCCTTTTGTCTTTTTTTTATTTTGGGGGAGGGGAGGGGAGGTGTTGTTGGGTGGGGGGTGCAGCAGGCTCTGATTGTTTGTTTCCTAAATTTACAAGGCATGAGGAAAATTATTATGACATAATTAATGTTATTATCAGTAAACTTGCATATAAGATATATTTGTTCTTGGTTGAAAGCTGGCAGAGTGAGCGAGACCGAATAACTAAGGTCCCCCCAGCAACACCCTGCTATTTTCAGGTCTCAGCTTGTGTACTTTACCGTTTAAAAAAAAAGAAAATATTGAAATTATATTAACAGGAGTGGAACATTTAGTTATCTTACAGTTAAAAAAAAATTAAAACTGAGAAAATCTAACACTGCTGGAGTCATCCTTAGTGGTGGTATTTAGTATAGAGCGTTAGTGTGAGCTTTGAGTTATGCCCTTTTTTTTGTGCAAGCGCACCCTCCCTCTGCCCAGCACCGCAGGATTGATGCAATGTTCGGACACTTTGATTTGTAATTGTATTGATGTCAATGGTCTTTTCATCCACCGGATTCCCTGATCTTTTAAAAAGTCCGTATTCAGGCGTTCTCTCATCATCGTTGCCTGAACTGTGTTTTTGTGCAGTTTGGATGTGCGACAGGAACGTGGTAAAATTAAGGTCATATCCAGTCTCTGAGAGGCAAGCCTGATCCATTGTTTTTTCTCCTCTTGTTTACCAGTCAATCTCTCAGACCATCAGTACTTTTAAAACAAGGAGAATGGTACAGTATTGTCATCAACACTGTCTTATCATTTTCAGTAATAAAACATAAATACCCAGTTGAACCAGATATACCAGTCTGTGTTTTGACACACTTCAGTGAGTGTTAAACAAATACACAATTAGACCATGAAGACTTAATAATGGCAAAATAGTTTTATTACAATATGTTAACGTTTTGAAATGCCACAACCAGTCATGTAGTTACAATGAATGTAAAACATAACTAAAACAAGAAACTTCAGGCCGTAGATCAGGTTTACATTTATTAAAGTGTACAGTAAATATGCAAACATGAACATTTTTTTTTTACTTTCGATTTGAACAAGATGGAAGAACATAGTCCTTTCTATTTGTATGAGCAGACTGAATTTTATTTGATAATATTTTAACTATTCGTTAACAGAACAGGTACTAAATTAAAGGTGTCCTTTTGTAAAATGTGATGCATATGGTCAAAAATAGCAAAGCTCCCCAAGTTAAGGAAGGTTACAGTTCTCATGTGTTATACTTATAATTCTCCTGTTTTAGATCTCATGAAGAAACCATTTTCTGTTTGTGTATAAACCTTTTATTGGACTTTGTGATCTTCTTTATTAAGTCGGCATCTGTAGATGAAGAAAGACCACTCGGACTGTTGCTTTCCAAAATAAAACTCAAATAATATAGTTGTTAAATATGAAAATCTCAATACTCACCATATTTTTTATTCACAAACTCCACAGATGCACCTTGTCTGGCACCCTTTTTCATTTTGAGGGACAGAAGCTCTTTATCTGCAGAAAAATAAAACAAAATATTAGTTTTTCTACTAAATTTGGGTTTTAAAAAGAGGGTTTGAACATCTTATCTTACTGCTTGTTCGTTTTGTTCCTGGTCCATAAAGGCGGGACTGAATGAAGTCAATTGCACTTTGTTGCAGTGATTTGGCAGCGGATTCATCCTTCACTCTCTTTACACTGTAACTGTCTGGTAAACTGAAATCACATGTTTTTCCATTTATACATAACATGAGGAAACCTTCCAGTAAGATGAATGTAAACAGCCAATTACTATTATTATTACCTTTTAGAGATTGTTTCTGACGTGACATTTGTCTCCTCATCATCTATAAAATAGTTTTGTAACTGAATACTTAAATTGACCAATAGGAAAAAAAAGTTTTTTGTGAAGTTACAGAAAATTCTGGTGTTACCACCTTTGATTGTTACCTTTGGTGTTGTCTGATAACTCAGCAGATCTAAAATAAGAAATTAACAATTTATTAGATTTCCAAAATGATACAATTAATTAAAATGATTATTTGAATCTAACGTTAGAGAGCTTACCTTTGGGGTTCTGTATCAAATTCCTCCAGGAGGTCTTCAGGAAGACGTTTTCTCGTCTGAAAACAAAAAACAGATGTAACATTTCATTATGTTTTGATTTTAGGATTTATATTAAATCTACAATTTATTGTGTGGATTAAGTGAAAGTGTATGTAATATGTTATTATAATATGTTTTTATTAGAAAAGTGTAACTTTTCTAATAATAACATATAAGGTTGGTAACTTATATTCACAACCCTATACCTTTTGTTCTTGAAACAACTGTTGCCTTTTCCTTCGTTTCTCCTTCAATAGGTTCTTCTCGCTGAAAAAAAAGAGAGTATATATATATATATAAACAGTTTAAACCCCATTAGCTCATGTGGTCTGTGTGTGTTAAGCTAACGTTAGTGGACACACACTTAACATTACAGACCTTTTAGCTGACTCCAGTGCATCTTTAACGCTCTTCAGAGCAGCACTTTTGGACGCATCAAAGGCGACCTCCTCGGGAAGTTCATCATCGCTGGACTCAAACTGACTCTGTGCCAATTCAGACATTTTATTAGTCTCTTTAAGTAAAGTACGCCTGACTCTGGTTTAGTACACACGTTGAACGGAATTCGCCATAAACACCAACAACGTCGAACATACATTAAAGACAGACAGACTAAAGACACAAGTATTGACTGCAATAGATGCTGCCATCTGGTGGTTCGGATGTCCCTGCAATTTCTGCGCGTAAACAAACTGATGCAAATGATAGTACTAGCATACGCCAGATACCTACACTTTTCAGTGAACAGAGATAAGTATATAACTATATATTTTTAATAATTTAATATTTGTATTTCATAATGCCCTATCATTAATTATTAGGTTACGGCAATGTAAAAAGTAATCTCTAGCCTAAATATATAATTTTTTAAATATTATTTTATTATGACTGTTACTACCACAATAATACAGACTATTATTTATAATATTGATAATTCAAAATGCTTGTGATTATTATAGCGAAATCTTATGGTTCCTTACAACAAAAATAAACAATAGCCTAATTATGCATTTGATTATTATTATTATTACCATACAAATTGTTGTTATTTATTATATTGATCATTCAAAACAGTTATGATTTTATTATTGTGAAATCGTATGGTTCTTTTCAGCAAAATAAAGAAACAAACACATGTAATTAATAATAATAATAATAATAATAATAATAATAATAATTGTATTTAGTAAATGTAATTATATAATGTTAATAGTATACATAGTAAATAGTCAAAAATAAACTATACTTATTTTCAACTAGTGGAAAATAATCTTATGAGCCGTCATACGGGTCATCTGACCAATCGGTGTTTCTGACGTGTTCGTGACATGATTGCTGGAGCTGGTGTATTTTTTCATTGTGGATTTGGGACACCAGCGCAAACACTGCGGGTGGGAAAAACACTCCAATCAAAGGCGTTGTGTCAATATTTAAATTTCATGGAATTATCGCTTTGCACTAACAGAAATGTCAGGCTTTGTGGTTTTTGTGCTGATATTGTCATTGTCCGCTATGGTGCCGTGTCTGGGCTCTCCTTATCCGTCAGTAGCGGTGGCGCCTCAGCCTTGCCTCGCGCCGTTACAGTGGGAGGGTCGGACCGTTCAATATGACCACGCCACGGGACGAAACACACGGGCAGCGGTCTCCTATGATGCACAGAATCAGCGAATTAGGGTTCTGGAGCAGAAGACAGGACACACACCTTGTAAAAAGTACGAATTAATCTTATGTTATGAATTATATTTTAATACTTTTTCTTATCACTGCAAAATACATTTTTTGTCTTCTTCTCCTGTACAAACATCTAAACATGACCCTTAGTTATTTTACGTGTACAGTCACTTAATTATGATTATTATTTAGAATAAATCAGTTGTTTTGCTTCTCAAGTGAATGTATTTTGATTTAAGAATGTATAGATATTTGTACTGGAAAACAATACAGAAAAATTACAACTCCAAGTAAGATTTATTTATTTATTTTTTGCTTGCAGTGTTTTGAAATGTCTGAGGTGTTGTTGTTCACCATAGTGTGGTGGATACATATGATCCATTATAGTCAAAATTAGAATGAACACACACAGTTCTTGTGTTCTGAAATATTAGTAAAACCAGATAAAATTTAATTGATTTGAATTATATAACTGTAAATTTGCTTTGCATTCATTTATTTGTATTGTGCAATTCTCTTTGAGGTTCTTTGAGTACATCTACTTGTTCAAGAGTGGAGTGCTTTTCCAGATTGAGGAAGTTACCAAGCAGTGTGCAAAGATTGCTTTGACCGAGGCCTGGGACCCTTATGATATACCCCTGAACTCCACATATGAGGACCAGTACTTCATTGGAGGACCTGGAGACTTGATCGAAGTTCAAGAATGGTCTGATCGAAAACCGGCCCGCAAAAGTATGTTTGTTATAGTTATGTTGTAAATGTTGCATATTACATGTCCCTTGATTTTTATATAGGAACTCTAATATGGTCCTGATTAAATGAACTTTGCGTTTTCCCTGTCTCTCACAGATGAAGCTTGGGTTGGTGTGTACACTTTGAAGGACTGCTATCCTGTGCAGGAGACATACGCAAAGAACAGTAGCGTGACCACGTCCACTCGCTTCTTTGACCTTCAGCTGGGCATCAGTGACCCTGAGGTGTTCACCCCACCCAGCACCTGCCAGTCAGCACTGTCTGAGAAGATGACATCCGACTGCTGAATACATCACTCATCTCTACTCATCTCAGTACATATTAACCATAATACAGTAACAGCTTTTAAACAAACGTATAATACACCGACAAAGAGCACATGAATTGAGTGCAGGTACTGTTAAATATAATCAGCTTCGAAATAAACCAAGAATGTCAGTTTTATGTTCACTAGTTCTTGTTGATTTATAGTGTGAACTGTGCCTCATATTAATGAAGCCTCGTTTTTAATATGCCACATTTTTTGCTGTGTTGTGCTGATGGATTAATGTAGCCTAGTACTCTTCTGTTTGTTTTACAGTTAATATTTTGTTCATCTTCTTAATATTTTATTTAGCCTTTAGTTGTTGAAGAAACCTTGAATTTTAATTTTAATAAAATGGTTTACCTCACTACCGCAGTTGTTGAGTTCATTGATTTGAACAGTATAGAGCTTTTATAAGACAATTAACCAGTGATGTTTTGGATAGATAAATAATTGTTAGCTGTATGAATACAAATAAATTAAATAGTAGCCTATAATGTCATCAAGTAATGTTAGCTTATTATAGCTTCTTGAGAACACAGTGACTCAAAAACTAAAATATCTGTATATGTCTTTGCATTAAATGCTATAAACATTACATTTAACATGAATGGAATAGATTTTTTGTTTAAAACTTAGACAAAAGCGTTTGGACAGCAAATAATGTGATGAACTACACTTTATTCCGCTAGAATGCTTTTGTGAATTTGTGGAGAACTAACTTCACACTTGTTTAAATATCTAAAATGAGCAATGTTTGTTCTGATAGAAGCTCTACTAGTATCATTTGTGTGCAGATGCCACTTGTTGTTTTCTTACTAATTCACTGAATTCAAATGTTGACTTTTTGGGCTTGAGCATATGAAGCTTTCTATAGTGAAAAAAATCTACTCAGACAGTTATATTATGTTATTGTTTGTTATTTACTTGATGGCGATGATGATTAGAACTATGAATTAATTTAAATTAGAATTGTGGGCAGGCCTGACGAAGTTCCAGATTCTACTGCATATCCCAGAATCCCCTTTCCAAAACAACATCACACTATTTCCTGTCTGACTGAAACTAAACTCATCAGAATCAGACGGTGCGGAATTTTCACCGAGATATATCCTCATTGATTTATCGGTTGACTGTAATACAACGCGTACTTTTATAAGGTTACTCACCAAGGTAAGCGACATGATCGATAACACACACATTTTTTTTGGTAAAGCAATGCTAATGTGACAAGAAGCCGCTGCTGTTTTCAGGTTGACTGCTTCAAATGTAACCGGATATATTGTTTTCAAGAGAGATTCATTGTTAGTTCAGGATTGCTTGCTTATTTCGCTTGTTGTTACAATTTTAGTTAGAAAGATAAAAATATATGTTGTGCTATATTATGACACTATTTTTCACGTTTTGATAAATCTCGCCGGGTTTCCTGTTGCACTGGTGTATTATCATGCTAGCCCGTAGCATGTAAATTGGTTTGGCTGAGCTACAGTACGAAATAAACACTTCACAACGTAAACACAGACGAACTCATTTCAGTTAATTGTGTTGTATTTATATTTTCCATTTCAGCTAGAGTCATGGATAAAGCAATAATGCCAAAATGGACTATAATTGTTTGGGTGGTCCATATATAAATTACTGCATTTAAGTCAGTTCTCTTCTTATGTAAAGTTATTTTTTAGAGGAGGCAAAACAAACCTGCCCAGTGTAATGTTAGTCATTTGCAAACAATGCATGAAAATTCCTGTGCTCATTTTCGGTAAATGACATCAGTAAGAGGAACTTGTCCCACTAACCAAACAGATAGTTAACTTACTGTTCTCATAAACTCTTGCCTGTTTTTAAACATTATCTGGGGTACTTCTTGGTCTTCCTGGTAAGACTTGTAGGGGTAGATTTTCATCCTTAGTTTATTTTATGAAGCCTATATTCATTTACTATAGGTGAATAATCTTTTCAATTGTGATTAAAATCGCAATATAGGAAACCTGAATCCACTTTAAGACATTTGGTTGATAGGTTTGTTTATCAGAATTGTCATGGTGTCTTAATTTAGGTACAAGTTCTTGTCTTTTTTGATCATGATCATCCTGCTCATTACACTGCTACTTAGCAAATACATAATATAGACTCAAAATATTTATTTCAGTTTAATTACTATTGAGGTGTCAGGTGTGACAGAACATCCTATATGAGCTGTCATTTATACATGACAACCATGGGAAACGGTCATTAATGTACATTCATTATTTTACAGCGGAATGCCTCGATTGACCAATCAGAATCTAGTATTCCAGAGACGCATGTAATAGTGCAACAGTGGCCACTTTTTCAGCCTTGGTTTTGGAAGGGGTTTAAAGTTTTTATTTAACAATCAACAATGACACAAAGAAGAATCTGAAAATTGGACAACATGTACATGTGTACTTAACGTCTTTAATTAGGGAAAACTACAATCCCATGATTCATAGCGAATGACAAATTAAAAACAGATAAATATTGTTTATTCATATTGTGTTTAAACAACATACTCATGTACATTGGAGTTTGCAGTTTCTTTGCAGAATCATGGGTAATGTAGTCTTTCACCAGAATTCTGCTGTTAAACAAGATTACTTTAAAAGATAAGTTGAAGAAAGCAGGCTGATGGCTTCAGCAAAAGTAAATACCTTTGATCAACAATGCTGTATGTTACAGTAGGTCCATCAGTTAAATAAGTTATTGGTTAAAACCAATTCCCATATGGAGAACATGAAAGGGATTTTCATTTTCAACTGTTCCTCTCTATAATTGGTGTTAATGTTTTATTATTTTTTTCTTTGTTCTTTTTAGATTATTATTTATTTTATTTTAAGTATATTCACTTAGTGACGGTACAGGATGTTTGGTGGTTTAGTTGATATGACGACGTCACAAAGTCCTGATCATACGACAGCAATAACTATAAACCTGTGACCACTGTGTGAAATGCCTCCACTTTCTGTGTCCTTTCAGAACTAGGCATGGCTACAGAGTCTGACTCTCCAGAAGTGTGAGTGTGAATGGAGTGACACGAGTGGACGAGACTGACGAATCATGGACAGCCAATGCAGTAGCAGTGTGGGGTCCCGGGCCACTCAAGGGGGTTTGGGAAACATCAACTCCACCCTCGTTTCTTCCCGTATCGAGTCTTATGAAGCAGGCGAGAAGAAGTGCATCTCCGATGTCCGAAGAACCTTTTGCTTATTCGTGACCTTTGACCTTTTATTCGTCACCTTGCTATGGATCATTGAGCTTAATGTATGTTGTGGTTTAGATAGATTCTTCTCCTCTAGAGACTATTAAGTTCTTTATATACATATACACAAACAGTATACAAATGTGTGTGTGTTAATTATTTTTTTCATCTATATTCATCCAGGTCAATGGAGGCATACAAGAGCAACTGATGCAAGAGGTGTTGCAGTATGATTACCACAAATCCTTTTTTGACATATTTGTAAGTACTGGCCAATACGCTGCCCCCTATTGCAGGATTTCTGGGGTTCACAAGCCCCTTGGTTGCATAAGTTGACGCAAAGCTAATAATAAATTAATTCATAAAAATGTAAAAAATTAAAGTATTATTACAAATAGTTTTTTAATAAAAACAAATTATCACAGTAATTAACCTATATAATAAAATTAGCATATACATAACATCTTGTACACAAATCTATGACTTTTCTCTACAATATGTATGTAATATATATATATATATATATATATATATATATATATATTTTTTTTTTAACGATACATGTACGTGAGAAATATATATAATATCATGTGACTATTAACATCAGAGAACCCTGAACATGCAAATGAGTTATTAAATTATTGAAATATCAACATAAAGTCTCAGGATATGCTCAATTTTGACTTTCAAATTTGATTTTAAATGTTAAATTACCAACATTTAAGATGTGATTTAATATGAAACTGGTGTGGTTACAGTTTAGGGCCAATCCATTCCACAGTTCCCTTTTCAAAGATGACTACTCTCTTAACGTTGATGACCTCACTCATACCTCTTTCAAATCACAAGGTTTCTGTCCTGGAAAACTTCATTATTGATTTTAAAGGGATAGATTACCTAAAAATGTCATCATTTGCTCATCCCTATCTCTTTCCAAATGCATGTGTGACTATTTTTCTTCTGTGGAGGAAGATAATGTGAAAAAATTTGTTCATTGTTGTACAAAACAAACCTTACTGACTCTCATTATGTGGACAATTTTCAAATTATTGTGTTCCACAGAATATAGAAAACGTACAGATTTGAAACGACATGGTGGGTGAGGAAAAGATGACCAAATTTAACTATTTAACCCTTCTATCTTGGGTGACATGCTTTTGGGGTGCTTCTTTGATGTACAGATTCGGTTTTTCTTTGGTGTTTAATAGCTTTGTTTTAGTCTAAAACTTTTAGATCATTTAAATGTGCAAGTTTCTGTCTTAGTTTGATGCAGCGTTTAAAATTAAGTCAACATTTTTTTAAGACCGCTTGGTATTTGGAAAATTACCCTGTAGACTTTGCCCTGCAAGTTGCTGTGTGGATTACATTTATGCAAATACACAGTGATGTCATTTTAAAAGTGTTACCTGACAGCAATCTTTAAACAGAAGTTTTAAAGCAACAAATCTTTCATGAAATGTTGATAAACCGGTTCTGAAAGGTAGATAACACATTTAAGTGTGTCGAAAACACTACTGTACAAAAGTTTGCAGGCTCTTATGCTTGTATGTTTATCTCCTCAGCTCTTGGCTGTGTTCCGCTTTGCAGCCTTGATTCTTGCGTATGCAGTGTGTAAAGTGCGTCATTGGTGGGCCATTGCGGTAGGCAACCTTTACTTTATATTCCTCCACCAGAGGGCACTGTTGCTTTACTCACAAATAACGTGCTGGAACTTTGTTTTAGCAGTTTAATCAAACTATTAAACTGAGCTTCACGTAAACTTATATCTATAAAAATGTTAGCAATCAAATACAGATTCATGTAATGATCATCATATCTTCATTACAGATAACTACAGCAATCACCACTGGTTTCTTAATAGTGAAAGTAGTTGTGTCAAAGGTATGAGATATTTTTTTTAAATTTTTTACATTTTAGAATTACAAACTTTTTGCATTGATCTAAAAATGTTCTTCCTTTGTCCAGCTCCTGTCTCAGGGGGCATTTGGCTATTTGTTACCCATCATCTCCTTCATTTTGGCATGGATAGAGACGTGGCTGCTGGACTTCAAAGTTCTGCCCCAAGAGGCTGGTGATGAAATCAGTGAGAATCAAATATCTAATTACAATGAGACAAGCGTTAACAGTGAAGGCTAATGGACGTAGATGACATTATAACTCATTTGCTCTTACAGTGTGTCGGTATCATTGTCTTTAACAATCATGTGTGTCCTGTTTGATAGGGTATCTTTCAGTGCAGAGTGTGGCAGATCAAGAACCTCTTTTATACCCAGGACCTGTTTCAGAAGGCCAGTTCTACTCTCCTCCTGAGTCCATGGCAGGTAATGGCTTACTAAATGCCCACAAGCTGGACAACCATTAAAATGGTCCTCAGGGTTGCATGGAAATCTAAAATCATGTATTTTACCAATTTTTTTCTGGTTCTGGCACTTGATAAGCTTAAATGATTTGTGAATCAGCTGTGTAACATTTTGTTCTTTATTTATGTTTTATTTTTTATTTAAACAGAAATCACTCTTACAATTGAAAGATATAATGTTCTCACCACATTTTTACACCATTAATTTTCCAGGAAATACCACTGTCAGAGCTCAGGTGCACTGCGGTGTGCGCTAGAGATATTCAATGATAAATATGTATTTAGAGGTGTTGCAGTAGTATTAAATAACCTAAAAAAAATTAAACCATTACCATCTCCTATAAATAAATTACAAAGTGTGGATTTTACGCCATTATCATTTTATATCTTATACACTCTAAAACTAAATATAATATACAGACGAGTCATAGCATGTGTGTGTGTGTGTGTGTGTATATGAAGAGTTCAGATGCAAAAGCCTCTAAATGCCATTTGAAATTTTCTTCTTTAATGATGATTTTTATCAAACTCGTATATTTAAGTTCAGTAATTTCACTTAAATAACAATTAATAGGTAATTATCATTGCCATTTAAGTGAAATTACTGAACTTAAATATACAAGTTTGATAAAAATCATCATTAAAGAAGAAAATTTCAAATGGCATTTAGAGGCTTTTGCATCTGAACTCTTCATATATATATATATATATATATATATATATATATATATATATATATATATGAAGAGCTCTTTTCCAAAACGCTATAAATCCATTTCAATAGTTTTCAGGAAAACTACATTTTTTACCTAGACCCACACATTTTGTGAATATTCAAATTATCCTGTTTAAATGTTTTATTGGTTCAGTCTGAACATTTTGAACAATAATTATTAAATCAAACAACAATATTGTTAATGATAATTTAAAAGTTAATTTTATTTTTTTCCAAAACGCTATAAATCGAAATAAACCTCAAACAAATAGTACCAATTTCAACATATGCATGAAAAAAAACAAATTATTAATACCAATTTCAACATATGCATGAAAAAACGAATTATTAAAAATGATCAATATATGATAACGATATTCAAAAAAGGGATGGGCACCCCTCCAGCACATGCACACACACACACAGGCTACATAACATGTGAGCAAAGCGGAGCAGCATGACGCTTAAATATAAGTTAAAAAAAAAAAAAAAAAATAAACATTTCACATTTGTTTTTAATAATATTACATTACTTATTTTTATTATTTCATCTATGTTGAGTAGGCTATGAAAAGGGAACCGCATGAGATGAGTAAGATAGGATCAAAATTCAAAAGCTGCCCAATATCGGAAAATATTTGGAGTGCTTCAGACATGATTTTGACCACTTATTAAGTTTTGTTTTGTAGAAAGCTTGTAAATTTCGTTTCATATAAATTGTATCTTCATTTTAATAAATGTTTCATCGACAAATTGACTGGATTAATACATTAGAAGTAAATATCAGACAATATAATCAGGACACAGAGGCGCGCAGGTGAACCGGAGCGCGTCTCATAATATGAACCGAAACACCGCGATGCTTGCCTCACACAGGCCTGAGAACTAAGCTACAGAAAGCTTTAAATATCTACTTTTAAACAAAACAATTAAAAACTAAAATAAATTGGCAACTCTCTGCGTATGTATAGGCTAATTCGAAGTATGCGTTTCTCTATGCGCGTTCACTGCGAAGATGGCGAGTAAGCATCATCAACTTTATCTTTGTTGCTGACACTGACAGAAAACACTAGTTTATTAATAAACAATTCAAATGTTTCATGCATAATCATTACTTTTGCCGGTTCTTTGTGGCAAGCTTTATGCATAGCCTACGTTGAGATGCGGAATATGCCATTAAAAACGCTCATATGGTTTCTCTCCCATTTAATTAAATCAATATATGTGATTACTGATAATACAAATGGCTTAAATGATCTACTACTAGTCGACTAGAAAACTAGGACTCATTTTGAGGAATGAATGAACATAATAAACCTCTGTTCAGAGTGCCGCCGTGCTGGATTGTGTAGAGCGTTCATTGAATTTGAGGATTTATCGTGTTTAGGCTAAAAACAGGGCTGGTGCTTATCGCGGCTTGGGAAGAAACTGTATCTTGCAGTACATTTTAAACAAGGAAATATAGCGATTCGGCATGAAACGTTGATAGAGCAGTGAAAGGGTTCTGTCCGCAGCAGAATGACACGACAAACTCATTTTTTTTAAAATGTCGTTTAACGCGTTTTGGAAAAGAGCTCTTCATATATATATGAAGAGTTCAGATGCAAAAGCCAGATGCAAATTTTCTTCTAGAATGATGATTTTTATCAAGCTTGTATCTTTAAGTTCAGTAATTCCACTTAAATGGCAATGAAGATGACCTATTAATTGTCATTTAAGTGAAATGATTGAACTTAAATATACAAGCTTGATAAAAATGATCATTCTAGAAGAAAATTTCAAATGGCACTTAGAGGCTTTTGCATCTGAACTCTTCATATACTCGTCTCCATTTCTTTTAAAGTTTAACATTAGTTTTTCAAGTCAATCAGCAACATTTTGCCAAATATAATTAATGTCAACTGCATATCTTGCACCTATTTTCACAATGTTTGCACATTTCCCCCCCTTTTATCTTTTCTCTTTGGTCCAGTGTGGGGTACAATTAGATCAATTTGATCAGTCAGTAAAATGAGTTTATAAAGAAAGTGTACAAATGATGTTACCCTGACCTTAACTGATTCAGACTAAATTATTTGTTATATATACATACACACACTACCATTTAAAAGTTTTTAGTCTTTTGTTTTTATTAAGTAATTTTATTTCTATTTCAAATAATTGCTGTTATTTAGAACTGTTTACTCATCAAAGAATACTGATTATTGAACATTGATAATAGTAAGAAAGGTTTTATGAGCAATCTGTGGATCTATCTGTGGATTTACTCATTCATCTTCAGTAAATATCAAAATTGTATTGACTTGTCTTTGTATTGTCTTGGTAGATTGATTTGTTTACACTTCGTGACAAATTAAATCAGTACAGGGTGACCAACAGTCCTGTTTTCAAGGCCTGTCCTGGCTGTTTTTTATAAAGAGATGAAAATGTCCTGGTTTTCAAAAAACTGCTTGGAAAGATCAACTCTACAGCAAAATATAGATGGGCATATAGGATGAGGAAGAAAAATATATTTTGTTAGTTCGTTTTTGTAAGTTTGTGAAAGCTATTTTTGATCAATTTGGAGGTATTTCTTTTAGCTATTTATATATTTATTTTTCTAATACAGAAGAGATATTATTTCTATCATTATTTCATTCATTATTTTTGAAACCTGTCATAATAATACATGTTGAGTGACCTCTGAGAAGCCTATCTGAATTTGTGTCTTGTAATATAACAATTTTCTATCCATACAAAGGAGGCATATCCTACTTTAAATGTATTGAAATTAATAAGGCATCTTTGAGTAAACTTCTAGTATCATTTGAGTATCTGTTTGTCGGGCAAAGTGTCCTGGTTTCAAAATTTGGTCACCCTAATTGGGGCAACTAAACACTTTTTGACATGTCCCTTTATATTTAATGCACTAATTTTAAATGTTCACAAATGTCTTTGCATTACTCTAATATGCCTTTGTGTGCATTAGATTCACAGCATGAAAAGGGATCACTTTAAAGGGCTGATTTTATTCACACATTTGTTGCTCATCTTAGTAAACGGGGCTTCTGAAACATAGAGAATGAATACATACCCAAACGATTTTTATTTACCTTTATATTTTTGTTAAGAATATCTATACATTTTTATTTGAAAAACAGCACAGACAACAAAATTATGTGTACTTTAGTAATGTGAGAAAATTGCAAGTATGAAAAGAAACATCCTTGTATTTTCGGCCTGTTTGTTGTGTGCAAACAATGACATCTTCACATGTTAAACACTCATTAAATATGATCTTTTTCTTCTCTAGATTCTGATGAAGACCTTGATGATAAACTTGATCTTGAGAAGCCCATCGTCTAGCAGGTATTCAAAAAATATGAATAATTCTTTTATCATTTTTCTATTCCTCCTTTTCTATTCCTTCATCCCAATCTAACTAATAGGATTGTATTTGAATTGTTATTAGGAGCTGACTTCTAGAATACAACAGCCTCTTTTAACGGTGCTCGACTTCGGGCTGTGTGTCTTAATATGGGTTTGTGTACGTGGGTTACAAGAACTAGACAGTCACTCTGCCTTAGATCCACCATCGCCATGATCAGCACTTTGTCACACAAGTGTAATCGCATTTTTGTCTGCGTCACTGAACAAAAACCTATTCTGCTTATACAACACTGAATTTAAATGTGTATTTTGAATTTAATCAACAATTAATACCAGTGTTGACCAAGACATTTAGCTTTTTTTGTCACGTGACACCCTTCAACTGCTTCTGTGTAACAAAGCGACTCATGCAGTAAAGCTCCACATGTGTATTAGCACATTGCTATGCCTCTGATCTCACATGCATCACTGGAGAAGACCTAAATGTGAATAGCAGTAAAAAGTCTCAGGTCTGCACTGCCACTCTTTAGTGTGTGAAGATTTCATATTTTCCGGTTTAATCTCTTGTGTTCGGAATGAACCGAGAGACGATAGAGACTCGATTCACTTGCAAATAAAGGACTGGCTAAGTTTTGCATGAAAAGCACTTCAATGAAGAAATACGACTTGTAATGATGCATGGATATGTAATAGATTTTAATGTTTGTTTAGTTTCTCTTCAGTTAGCACTCCTAAACAAAATCATCTTAAAATAAATCTACTTCCTGTTGACTTGTGCCATGCTTACTGAACAAGGGCTTATGTACTTCGGGTCTGGGACCTTCAGTTTTCTATGATCTCCATATGTTTCCATCACAAATCCTCAAACATGCAGGATAATGGCAGATTGTATATTCTTTTTTCCGTTGTGTATTAAAACAATGTTTTTATTAAATGTGTGTGTTTCTATGCATCAGTTTTTACAGACTGAAAGCGAGGGGAGCGGAAAACCCTGCCGAGAGTCAGTTTGCGCTCTCACGGATGCTCCTCGCCCACAAATAACAGCTTAGATTAACAAGACAAACAGCCTGCAGCCGCAAATAAATTATCAGCCAATCATGCTGTGGTTAAACTGCTGCCTTTTTTTTTTTCTGTTTTTTTTCCAGTAAGCAGCTCCGCTAGTGGTGTGTACATACCCAACCACATTTTCCTACCGCAGCAGTTTCAATCACCAGCGTGATGTTTGCAAATTCATGTCTGAGGTTTTGATCTTTAAACTTCATTAAAACAGATGCAAGAAATGCTCTTTTTTAAAATTAATTTACACTCTAAAAAATGCTAGGTTGTTTTAACCCAATTTTGGGTCAAATGTGGACAAACTCAAACAGTGAGTACTCAAAATGTAATTTAAAATGTAACCCAATGGCTGGGCTTGTCCATATTTGACCCAAAATTGGGTTAAAACAACCCAGCATTTTTTAGAGTGGAGCTAAAACAGTAAACCATGTAAAGTATTAATAGATTAGATGATTTTTATTTTATTTTTTTAATTTTTAGGTTGTCATCTAGCAGACACATTAGTAGTACGTTTTATTATTATTTTACTCTATTTCCCAATTAGGTTTAGGGCTGTCAAACGATTAATCACATCCAAAATAAAAGTTTGTCTTTACATAATATATGTAGGTGCACTGTGTATAATTATTTTATATATATATATATATATATATATATATATATATATATACACATGCTTGTATATATTTAAGAAATATTTTCATGTATATACTGTAGATTTATATATAATTTATATTATATATAAATATTTTATATATAAATAATATTTTTTTTCTTAAATATACATGTGCATATATATATACAAAATAATTATTCACAGTGCACCCACATATATTATGTAATATCACACACTTTTATTTTGGATTAGTTTGACAGCCCTAGCTGATACACATTGTGGCACATAATTAAATATGTATCTTCTATATATATTGTATTAATGGTATTTGGATAAATACAAAGTCTAGGCAATTAATGTTTTATATGCATCATTTTATTTTAGTAGATTTTTATTTTATTTACTCTAATTCTGCAAGCATAAATTAAAAACATTTTAATTAAATTATTCATAATTCAAATTTTATTATATTATTATATTATATTTTTATATTATATTTAAAAATATAGGTTTTGTCATATTTTATTGAACAAATTCAGAGAATGCAACAAAACAGATTATGATGGGAAAACAAAGCATTTTTATATGTTGGTATTTTAAAAATCAAAATATTGCATTTCAAAGATACAAAAATAAAACAGTTCTAAGCTGATCTACAACAAATACATTTAAAAGCAATACATTTAATCAGAGATAATATAGTTGCAGACATGCATCTTTAGAAATTAGCTAAACATACTCTATATGATAAACCTTTGTTTGCTTGATGTTTATCTTATGCCTTTAATCTCTAAGCGCTTTCTTTTTTATTTCCAACTTTTCTCTTTAATAGAACGATAAGGACAGCACAAAAATATACCCCGTTCTTCATGAGCATGACACCATACGCATAGACAAACAGGTACAGACTGGGTATTTGGTCTGAAGAGCCTGCAATAAAACAAAAACACATTTGAATACATTTAATGAAACATTTAATTTTTTTTTTTTCATATTGCACATAGGTATTTGAGGCATTACATGTTTGTGAACATTTTGTTTTTGATCAGCATCAAGAGTTTTGGATTTCAATCTACAAGGTTTTAATATCAACTAATGTCAACGACACATTTTTTGCACCCATAATGTAACAATGTGACTTTTTCTTCTCCCTTCTTTTTGGTCCATTGAGGGATAAATTGTGAATGAAATGATTCTATTCAGAGATAGATCAGAATGATTCATCAGATCAGTTGGTTAAATTACTTTATAAATGAAAAGAAAACGTACAAATGATTTTACTCTGATCTTAACTGATTCGAATGTGCAATGAATTCATTCAAATGTTGGATTGGATTTTGAAATGCAAAAGTAATTAACAAAAAATCCAAATTTGTAAATACATTTATATTTTCATTTTTATTTATTCACCTGATATCTGAATTGTTGAGGTCTTATTGTCGGGGCTGCATGTTGGTTTCACAGTGGCGCCTTCATTGTTGTTCGCTGGGTCTTTATCTGGAATATAACAATACAGTCATTTTATTAATATACTGAATTGGGTAAAACAAGACAAAGCAGAATCCCAATAAAAGAGATTTATCTGAAAGGTAAAATTACTTATAAGCAGGCATATGAATATTCACATTTTTAACTGTCCATATTATAATTGAAGATATGTCATAATAGGAATCACTGTTAAATTAAATTGAATAATTTAATTCAATAAACCTATAGGTTTTAATGAAAGCGAAGATGTCTGATATATACGTTTAATTAGAAATATTAAATAATAACCCCATTAATTACAATAAGTATTAAATCTACATCTAATAAAAAATGTGTTCAAATTAAAAACTATAACTTTTACTCAACAAATACAAAAACATTGATAATGGTATATAAACTTCTGAAATACATTACTTTGATACCTCTGATAACCAATCACTCTAAATTGTAATGTAGAAACATTAAAAACTATATGTATTGTAAAACATTGTACTATATTATTGCATTATACAAATAAATTTGAATTGAATTTAATGTGATGTGTCCACTAATCCCCCATTAACATATAGACACAACAGAATTCAACATGCAATGTCAGATCACTATTTTCTAGAGACAAAAAAAAAAAAGATAAAATGTGGGCGATATACACTATAATATATATATATATATATATATATATATATATATATATTTTTCTTTCCAAGAATTCTAACACATTTAAATGTAGTAAATCTGAGTTTCTTCAAATTACCATTCTGCAGTGTTTTTTGTTTCATGCCTCCTTCATAGGTAAGAGTGCATTGATAGAGGTCTTCTCCAGCCGTGTATTGATCTACGATCAATATACTTGTCACGATGACTGGATCAACATTCCTCTGCTCCACAACATTGTCCTCCGATACATCCGTCCAGTCTCCAGTATTGCTCTTCTTTTTCCAGTTGAATTTCACCAAGTCCGGAAACATGTCAGTGGCCTGGCATATCCTTGTCTGTTTGCCACTTTCTTTTGTTGTTGGTAGGTATGCTGTTAGAGTTGGTGACTTGGTCGTGTCTTTACCTTGGTCTTAAGAGAAATAGATGTTGAACATAACTTCAGTGATCATGAATGAATGTGATGTATCAGTGAGGAATGAATGGGTGAAAGTTATAGGGAAAATTTAAAAGCGCTTTGGTGGCCATTGGGTCTGTGACGGCACTATAAATGCAGTCCATTTACCATTTACCATCAATAAGCAAATGAATATAAGCAAATAGAGGGTGACTGGAGAAAGTTTGCACATAACATAATTTTATGAATTTGACAGTTTCCTACCAGTTACGATCAGCCGGGTTCCAGTTCCAAATCTTTTGATCAAGCCCACCCAGATTAAGTCTATTGCAAATACTTCTGAATAATAAAAAAACCTTCTAATATGTTTTATAATTGACTAAGACAACTTGTTCACTCTTTCTGATGGTCTATACTATTTTAAAGGGTTAGTTCACACAAACATGAAAATTATGTCACCTACATGCCATTCCAAACCTGTATAAATTTAATCTTCTAGAACACAAAACAAAAGATATTTTGAATTTTTTTTTTTTTTTACCGTACCTATAATACTAGTAAAGCCAGTGGGGTATAAAAACTACTTTGAAATGTACTCGGTTACTAACGTAACCTCAGTTCTCTCTAGAAATGCAGTCCATTTACCATGAATAAGCAAATGAGAATATAAGCAAATAGAGGGTGATTGGAAAAAGTTTGCACTTGGAAATGACATAATTTCATGAATTTGACAGTTTCCTACCAGTTACTATCAGCCGGGTTCCAGTTCCAAATCTTTTGATCCTGTCCACCCAGATTAAGTCTATTACAAATACTTCTGAATAATACAAAACCTTCTAATGTGTGTTATAATTGACTAAGACAACTTGTTCACTCTTTCTGATATGTCTATACTATTTTAAAGGGTTAGTTCCCACAAACATGAAAATTATGCCATCCGCATGCCATTCCAAACCTGTATAAATTTAATCTTTTAGAACACAAAATAAAAATAATTTTTTTTTCACAGTTTTTGACCATACAAGCCAGTGGAGTATAAAAACTACATTGAAACGTACTCGGTTACTAACGTAACCTCAGTTCTCTCTAGAAATGCAGTCCATTTACCATTTACCATCAATAAGAAAATGAGAAAATAAGCAAATAGTGGGTGACTGGAGAAAGTTTGCACTTGGAAATAACATAGTTTTATGAATTTGTAAGTTTCCTACCAGTTACGATCAGCCGAGTTCCAGTTCCAAATCTTTTGATCCACCCCACCCAGATTAAGTCTATTACAAATACTTCTGAATAATACAAAACCTTCTAATGTGTGTTATAATTGACTACGACAACTTGTTCACTCTTTCTACACTATTTTAAAAGGGTTAGTTCACACAAACATGAAAATTATGTCAACCGCATGCCATTCCAAACCTGTTTGAATTTAATCTTCTATAGAACACAAAATAAGATATTTTGAAGAATTTTTTTTTCACAGTTTTTTGTCCATACAATAGTAAAGCCAGTGGGGTACAAAACTACATTGAAACCCTTTTACTTTAATGCATGGGGACAAAACTGACATATTTTTCAGAAAGTGTTCCAAAGAACGAAAGTCATACAGGTTTAAAATTATGACAATTTTCATTTTATGGGTTAACCCTTTAAGAAAATTCTCCTGTTTTATGTAAACAAGTACAAGATAGAAGTGAAACTCTCTGTTGCCAGCTGAAATCCAGAAATAATTTTGCAACCAACTTTAAAATGCTTAAAATAAGTTTAGCAGAGCTTAGTTATGGGATTTTTTTCTTACCTGTCACATATAGTCTTGTACCCGAACCAAAGACTTTCTTGTCTCCCACAGTCATTTATTCCTAAACAAAAAGATGAGGTTTGTGCAGATGAGAATCTGCAGTTACCTTGTGTACATTGTTTTAAAAAAAAATCCCTGAAAACTTTTTAAATATTAACCAAGAAAGCAAAAAAAAAGCTATATCAATCTTGATTTTGATCACTAAAGTGCTAAAACACTTCATTTAGGCTACTTCTAGTGAACAGTGTTCTGTACAGTGTCATGTCACACTCTTTCCAGTAGAGGGGCTGCCTGCAATAGTTACAAGTCCTGCAAATCTGTCATCACTCACTCGCGATGAACAACTTGAAACGTTTCTTTTACTGTCTATGCTTGAAATAAGCTTTTGGACAAACAGAGAAAACGCGACATCCACTAACTAAACTTTGAGTAAAAATGTAACACTAAATGAATCATGTTATAAATAAATAGGCCTACACGCGACATCCGGTAAACACTTATCTGAGCATCTTGTTGATTCCTTGAATCCTAAAGCTGAAGTTTCTTATTTCATTCATAACCATTTAAATCTTCTCCCCATTTTCCATAACAGTGAATTGCATATATTTGGGCTAAAAGAAATGCATTGAAATGGTAAACGGACTGCATTTTTATAGCGCTTTCACAGACAAAATGGCCACCACATTCACTCACTCATTCACACACCATGGCGCCATCCAGCTCGTCGGTCTGGACTCGGGAGCAGTGTCTTGCTCATGGACACTTGGTCAGATGGAACTGGATTAAACCACCAACCTTCCGGTGTGTAGACAACCAATGAACCATGTTGTTTGTTGCATTTGTTTTTATAGCCTAACCTAATATGTGGCTTTGGTTTTAGATTAAATCAGGAACCCCCCTGATGGGTTTTTGTACAGGTTTTCAGTATTTATAACTGCTGTGCTGCCTGAGACCCAGCAAGCACAGTAATACATTGCTGAATGCTCTTTTTTTAGTTCAGGTATTTTCAGAGCCAGGTTTTCGTGTTTATTATCCACTTTAAACGATTCAAAACCAACATCATTGTATGTGCTACCATCTGCTATAGATGAATACAGTATTCTTTTTAAGGTTTGTCCCTCTTTTAGTTGATACCAGTGAATGTAGCGATTGCAGTTAGAAGGAAAATGACAGTCAATAACAACTGTCTTGTCCTTAGATTTGGTCGATGAGATTTTCTGTTGCAACTTCACATTTGCATCAACTAAAAAAAAAAAAAAAAAGTAAAGTTAATGAGAGTTATCATGTTTGCTTTTTGTGATAACATAATCCAATAATGGTATGATTGCAAATAATTATAATAAAAAAAAAAAAACCTTACCTCTACATAAATGTTGAATGAGGAACAAAAGACATAGCTGTATTTGAAGACTCATGATGGCAGGGAGTGTCTGGAGAGCGTCTTAAATCTGTGATGAGGAGAGATCATATGGGAGGTTTATTATATTAAGTTTCCGGCCCCTCATGCTAATTTGAGTTTGTTTTGTGGTTCATGATTCAGATGTAACAGATTATACCGCTTCAACTCTGTGCTTCAGTAATATAATACAATTAGCATACATAACATGTTGTCCACAAATCTATTACTTTTCTCTACAATATGCTGATTGGTAATGCAGAAGCAGAGCCCGATTTCTCTAACCTTTTTTAAAATCAATTGCTCGAAATACATTGTTTTTAGTCTAATAGCACTTACATTTTGACAGTTGATACCAACTGCATTTTAGTAGCAAATGCAGTGCTGTTGAGTTTCCTGTCGAGTTTGTATTTAGGGTCATTTTATAGATGTGAGTCATGTGACCCTCATTCAGAGCCCTTCATTCAAGAACAAGTTAACTAAATCTGTTTACTTTATTTCTGCTAAGGAAATAAATAAAATGAAACATTCTACACATATAATAGAAACATTTCTATTTATGAATTTGGCTGACACAACTTAAATTGCATCAAGACATACATTTTATTAGTTGAGTACATTTATTTATTAGTACATTTTATTCCCAATTCCTTGGGAATTAAACCCATGGTCTTAATGTTATGTTATTTCAAGAAAGGTTTGTGGTCTCTGATTATGACAGGAAACCTTGCAGAGTTTTTGTGCAAGACTTTAGTATTTATGTGTACTGTGCCACTCCCGCTCCAGATCCAGCAAGCACAGTAATACATCGCTGAATGCTCTTTTTTCAGCTTGGTGATTTTCAAAGCAAAATGATTCGATGTTTTCTTTTCTGATTTTATGGACTCAAAACCTGCATCATTTTGTGCGGATCCATCATCTATGTCAACATAAAGGATCCTCTTCAAGGGTTCTCCTTCTTTCTGCTGATACCAGTGGATGTAGTACCTGCAGTCTGATGAAGTGTAGTGACAGTCGATAATGGCTAACTTTTCCTCTGCTTTGGTCAGTGAGATTTTCTGTTGCAGATCACCGGCTCCCACTGTAAAAAACAACGACTCACAAATCAAACTACCTAGACTATTCGGTTAGATGCATCATAATGGTTATTATTATTATAACATTTTTTTTCTTTAAAAACAATCAATTAAATTGCCAAATAATAAAATACTTGCCTCTGCATATGAACTGAAAAAGCAGGAAAAAGGAAAGCATCAAAAGAGCATTCATGGTAGCAGAGACAGTCTGATTCTCTCCTTACTCTGTGAAACATAGGAGTTGAGCAACAAACAGGAAGTTACAATGCTAATAACTAATCTGGGTTACAGATGTGAAATGCCCCATACTGAGCTTAACCCAAGAAAAAGTTTGTTCCTTTTCAAGGATTTCAGTATTTCATTAATGGACTTTTCCACCACTTTTGAGCTCTCTCAGAAGACCTTTAGGGGTCACTGGGGTAGTACCATTAAAAGACATATTTGTACCTTTTTTACCCCTAAAGGTGCATGTTTGTACCTTAGAGTAGCAATATAGGTACCTTAAGGTATTACTCTGAATCTACAAAGTTGTCCTTTTAAAAGTACTCCAGTGACAAGCTGTTGTACCATTTAAAGTAAAATGTTTGCATTTTTTTTATGAGAGTGAATGTTTGGAGCACCCTATTAGTCTGCAACTAAAATGAATTCCAACTAACATGAGATTTCTATTCAAAGTCCTTGGACTTGCATTATGTTCATATCCTAAAGTAAATTTGCGACACACACAATGAACATTTCTGCCTATTGATAGTCTAGAAGGCACTACACACCTCGCAGGGGGGACATAACTAGGGCCCGAGCACCGATGGTGAGAGCACCATATTGGAATTGCTACGTTTATTATTATTCTCATCTATTTCCATATACTTCTTTGTCTTTTTCTTGAAACACAATCAAAGCCTTTGAAACTGACTGCACTGCTGACATTACAGCATATCAGTGGCCCATATGTTATTGTTTAATGTTTTTAAACTCTGCATTGAATTGCATTTTGTTCATGAATTCCCTTGAAATTAGAAGTTTTACTGCATCTCTTATTGTAACACTGAGAAGATGAGCACGTGGTGATTCCACTACATTTAATAACTATCATCCTCTCTGTGCTGTTGTTTTTATCTGCAAGCATATTTGCTATATTCTCCTCAAGCATCTGTCAAATGATTCAATATAATAAAGGTGGTTTATTTTGATTTTGGCATTGTTCATGTTGTGGAATAGTTTCTCATGGTTTATGTCAAGGATGTCAAAGCCTTCTCTCACTGTGGCTGCCATCCCAGCATGCACAATAATACATGCCAGCATGTTCCTCCTTTGTTTCTTTGAGTTTTATGCCATATGAATTTCCAATTTTTTCAGAGACAAAGTCTTTTGCTTCACTTGTAGCAATCCCAGACTTGCTGATGTAGAGTAGTCTTTTAAACGTTTCACCATCTTTCTTGTGGTACCAGTGGACAAAATTACCAGAGCCCAAGCCAGTTACCTCACATCTGAAGGTCACAGTTTTACCCTTTAGCTTCACCAAAACCTTTTGATTTTGATTTAAACTCAAACCTTCCACACCTGTAAAGAAATAAAATGAAAATATTTATATAGTTATTTTAAATACGTTTTTATTATGGTTATAAAACATATTTATGTCTTATCATATATTTCATTTTACAAATGACCTATTTAACCCCCTTTTAAAGTTTACTTACCATGGATCATTATGAGAACAACAGTGCACAAGTTTATGAGCATTGTTCAGTTGGTTATGTGAGGCAATATATGTTCATAAAGTTCCCTGTACACTTCTTTGCTCTCTTCAGCCAAAATATTCCATGCAGATAATTGTTTAGTGATGTAATTTCCTGAGGTGGAGCTCTAAAAAAAATATGTGATGTGATTTGTTGATTAAAATATTTCAAAAGTTTGATACATTTCTACCTCACTAGACAAATATTCTACCTCACTTACATTTCTACCTATAAGTTCTATATCTCATCAGGATTCTCTTAAAATTTTCAGAAGTAATTTAGTAAAATGCAATTTTATCTAATAATTTATCTTAAAGCAAAAAAAAAAAAATGTAGCTCAATAGCACCATCCTCTGGTGAAGACCTACATGTCAAACAAACAACTGTATAAATATTACAAATATAGGATAACATCTGAAGGGCTTGAGGGAAGTAAATCACACTGGTTGCATTGAACTTCAGGGACTTATAATAGTGGAGGTGAAATTTGGGTTCATATGAAAAAATTAGCTCCTATTCAAACGTGTCAATCTAATGAATACTAGGCTATCTAATGATAGTTTCCATGAGTTCATGTACAGTATGTGAGTAAATGTTCTCACTGTGGTTGCCTGTGTCCCAATAGGCGCAGTAGTAAACTGCAGCATGAATCGGCTTTGTGTTGCTCAGTTTGAGATTAAAGAGCTGTGTTCTGTCCACAGTGAAGTCATTTGCTTGGGGATTGTTGGTATCATAAATAAAGCTACCGCCTGCATTGATATAGAGTAGTCTTGATGGGGCTTCACCCTCTCTCTTTTGGTACCAATGGATGTAATTCCAAGATTGTAAATCGGTCACTTTGCAGGGCAGATATGAAGTTTTGCCCACTGCTTTGACCAATGTTGGTTGACCTTGTTCCAAAGTCACTCCCAGAACAGTTGCTTCAATTGAACAAAACAAATGTCATACATTTAAAAATAATAATAATAAAGGCTTAATTTTAAATGGAACCTACCTGGGATCTCTGAGAGAATGACAATATAAATGTATGCAAACATCATTCATCTGTGTAGTTGAAAAAGACGTTTGGAGAGCAATGCTCTTTTTTTTTTAGTCTTGAACCCAGCCCCGTATGCCATTCAAAAACAGTTTGCTGATGTCATTTCCTGATTGTTTTCAGCACATAACATTTCTTTCCTATTTAATTTCAGTCATCATGTTTCAGTCAATACATTTTAATATTAAGGCCATTTAGTTGATCTGAACTTGAGTAACTTCACACTTTTTACACATTATTTTTCAAAACATACACTTTAAAATAATGTACACATTTTTAATATCAATGTTTTCTTATTTAGGCTCAAACAATCGTTTACTTTTATAAACAATATGCATGTTTTCTGAAATCATTCATTTTGTCTTCCATTATTTCAATCACATTTAAAATGATGTATTTAGCATTCTTAGATGATTTTTTTTTTTTTTTTTAATAAACTTGACTAAATGGCTGCCCCATTTGTCATGATTAATTGTATTAGCCTTTTAATAAAACTAATGGTTTGGAACTTGCATATGTTCAATCAAGTGCTTTACCCCATTTATTTATGATCTTCACACACCATGTCTCATATTTCTTTTTAAACAAGCTCTTCATTGATACTTTTGTTACATAATAGCCATCCATTTTTGATGAAAAATGTTCGATTGTGGAGGAAGTGATGCCAAAGCTGTGGGACAGTAGTATTTTTAATGTAGATTCAAAATGTATTTAAAAACTAATTTTACACAAAAAATGGTCAAATGATTGTTTAGCTAAGATTGTTATAATCCCTAGTGTTATAATAAATGTAAATGTTAAATGTTCATAAATTAAGTTATACAGTAGATTAGAAAAATAAAATCTAGGTTATAGGATAGGATAGCTACATTTTAGAAAAGTAAAATTCAAGACATGATAAAACGTTTGAAATGTGTAAATGTTACCTTATTCACATACAAAAATAAAATTTTCATTTTAATAAAAATTAACCCAATAAGATGACTAGACAACAGTTGAAGAAACCATTTTATTGTAGCATAGTGTTAACAGTCTGCACGGTAGGCTACAGTAGTTTTAGGGTTTAGAGACAATTTTGAACATTTACAGTTGTTATATTGACTACAAAAAGAAAAGTCCCAATTAAAATATTCGGAATGTCTCCCCCTTGCTGCTACTGTTTTTGTAAAGCAGGTTTTTGTAACGATTTCCTCTTATAGTCAGCACTGTGTTGTTATCATTCCAGAGCGCGCAGAAATACCATCCTTCATCCTTGAGATGCACTTTGGGGATAGTTATTGTCACTTGCTGATTTCTCACCGATCCAGCAAAATTACGGGGGGCTTCTGGGTCGATTGTATGTGTTTTTGCTCCTGCTTCGAAATATATTAATCGCTGGAAAGCTCCTCCTGGTTGAACTCTGTACCAGTGGACAACGTTGGACTGAAGCGTCGATGACTCCACATTGCACGTGATTATTGCAGATCTATCCTTTAGCCTAATGATCACAGCTTCAGGATGTATGGGAATATTTTGTCCATTTAAACAATCTACAACCACAAGAGAAAGTTAAAATGTGTTTAGTGTATTTGAAATTCGAATTAAGTCACTTTGTAATGGCTTTTTTTAACGTTTAATCAACGACGAGTTAGTCAGAACGCAGTAAAATAAAAGCTCAGCGAGCGTTTTCTGTTATAATCCGTAGGCCTATTGCACATTACATCGATAAAACTGTAGTATTGTCATTATTTACGACTTTATGACATATTTACCTATCATAAAGGCACGTAGCTTACAAAAATACTGTTTTGTTTAAATTATTGTGTTTAAATGTTTTAAGATGGTTGTCAAATTAAGCCTGTGCGAGACGAACCTCAAAATATTACTAATGGAAAAAAAAAAAAAAACTTTTTAAAAAATAAAAAAAATCATGAGTGAATAATCATAACCAGAATATACCAGAATACTAAAATCTCACCTATTATGACTATTAACAACCCAAATGTTATCATTCCAGACACTGCCATGTCTACATCTGTCATCCAGGAGTCTGAAGAATTATGAACATCTGCCAATCAGAAGGTAGCCTAATGATAATGACCTTGTGGTTTCCTCTTTATGAATATCTCATCGTCATCACTATCACAAGATGGTTTCTTACACAAGCTAAACCACGCATGGGTGAGGCAGCATTTAACACATGTAATTTAACCCTGGTTTATTAAAACTTCCTCCAGAACTTACTCTGTTTTGCCATGGATTTAAAAAGATGGTGAACAGATTAAAAAATGTCCTATTGGCTGTGTTGGCAGAATATTTTTAATATTTATTTTTAATATTTAAAAATATTCTGCAATGACACTGTGATGATGACACTATGGGACCCAGAAATAGACTTTTGCCCTCTGTAGTGGTCATTGTATTTTAGTGAATTTATTTGACAGCATACATTTCACAGTTCGGATGTCATGTATGAGCAAATGCAGGGCTTTTCAGAGATGCCAAGTGTTTGGATGTTTCACCATGACATCAACTTCTCCTTGGTCTTAAAAAATGACTGAATTGTAATGGACTGCATTTATATCGCTTTCACAGACACAATTGGCCACCAAAGCACTTTACATTTTGCCTCACATTTAACCATTCAGTCACTCATTCAAACACCGACAGCAGTGTCAGCCATGAAAAGTGCCGTCCAGCTCATTGGAGGTTAGGTGTCTTGCTCATGGACACCTCGACACTTGGTCAGGTGGAACCAGGGATTGAACCACCAACCTTGGTTTGTAGATAACCGATAAACCACTGAGCCACTGCCACCCACTAAATTCATCTAGTGATCACATTTAGCACAGTTATGGAAATATGATAATAGTTATTGTTTAAATCAGACTACTTTTCAAACTGTTTGTCATAAATCAATATCTCAGGAAAATATTATGGGGTTTCTAATCAAAATATGACTCTCTCTTACAGTACAGTGCATTGATTTCATACGTGACCTCCTTGGTCACCTGTGGCAGTTGCATAAACATAGATGACAAGAGACTGACCAACTAGTTAGTTAGGGCTAATCACTCTTACACTTCATATTCAAATTAGACCAATCTACATTTTCATGTAACTGACTTTAAAAAAAAAATTATGGCAGACTTAAAGAAAAAATTAGTAAACTAGTAAAACTAGTCTGATCATTTTATGCAACCGGCCTAGGACTTAAATGTTGTATTTTGGGAGACAGTAAGTGAAGGGAAAGCAATTATATATCACTCACTATTCCAATGAAATACATATTTTGAAAATGCTGCCAAATATTACTACCATTATCAAATTGTTTTCATTATATGTTGGCCCAAGAACACATTCATATGCAAATTAGATAAATTTTATTGGTATTGAATGGGACTATGGTCATTTTACTCACATATTTCATAAAGTAAAATGGTATAACAATTCATTTCTATAAATCTTTCAAGTTGAGATTTATCTTTATACAAAGTTTTGTTAAAAGTTAAAATTAATTGGTGAATGAAAAAAAATGTATTTTTTGTATGACATAGTATAACATGATTAAAATATATTTAGTCAAAAATGCGATATTCACAATGTAGTTTAAAAAGTGCTATTAAATTGGTCCCAGAGATACATTTGATACACACAAGAAAAAAGAGTCACTCATTTCTGCACTTTTATTTGCAAAATACTATTTTATATTACAGCCTTTACTCTATTATATTATTAGCCTTAACATTTTTTCAAGTTTGGTTAATCCAGTATATTTGTTATCTCTGTCAGCTTCTTTAACTTCTCCAGTACCTTTTCAAAAGATTTGATACAGAAATTATTTGAAATGTATGTGAAAGGCACACTGAATTGAGGACATGTGATATTTTGAGCAACTGACCATAACCATAAATACGAAAAATAATTGTAACATATAATTCTACTTATGTGACAATGATAAATACTTATTTATATATTCACAATATATTTAACAAATATGAGATACACCTGACATATTCCAAAATCATAATAATACAGTGTGTAAAATAACTTCTTACATACATAATATATCAATGCACAGCTGGGCAATAAAGTTGAGATCAGAACAGATGCAAATACCATCATCCAGTCATCCTATAAAGCTTAATTCAAATTAAGATCTTAAACAGAAAATGACAAGTATATAAATATTAAAGAATTTGATTCATTAACATTTACCAGTATAGTTCATGTATAGTATGTGAGGAAATGTTCTCACTGTGGTCGCTTGAGTCCCAGTAGGCACAGAAGTAAACGGCAGCATGACTCTTCTTAGTGTCACTCAGTTTTAGATCATAAAGCTTTGTTTTGTCCACATTGAAGTCGTTTGCTTGGGGATTGTTGGTATCACGAGCGACTGCACCTTCTTTACTGATATAGAGGACCCTTGACGGGGCTTCACCGTCTTTTATTTGATACCAATGGATGTAATCTGAATTGCTCAGACCGCTCGCTTTGCAGGGCAGATATACTGTTTTGCCCATTGCCTTGACCAACGCCTTTGCACCTGGTTCCAAACTTATTCCTAGAAATACTGTTTCGACAAAACCAAATTCAATACATTTAAATCAGTTTTTAATTTTGTATTGCTTTATTATTATAAATGTCACTTACCTGGCATTTTTAAGAGTAGGACAATATAAAGGTATAAAAACATCCTTAATCTGGTGAAAAATATACCTGTGTAATGCTGTCAGTCAGGGTTTCACATCTTTTGTATGAGCTTCAAAAATAGGGTGCTGATGTCATTTCCTGAAATTGAGTTACCATAGAAACCATTTTAAAATATTTTTTTTTACACTAACTGATTTTCAAGTTACATTAGATTATCCTCATATATCTGTAAGATATTAGATTTTTTTTTTAGATTATGAGAATCAATACTTTAAGGTTATCAATACTAAGGTTATTTTAAATAATTAAACTTTTATAGTCTCTTATGCTCACCATATCTGCATTTACTTAATAAAAAACACAGTAAAAACAGTCACATTGAAAATATTATTAAAATCTAAAATAAACTTTTCAGTACCATACTCCAGCTTTCAGTGATCCTTCAGATATAATTTTAATATGCTAATTTGGATGCTTTTGTGGAAACAGTGGTGCTTTTATCAGGAATCTTTGATGAATAGAAAGTTCAATGAACAGCGTTTATTTGCATTTATTACATTTATTTATTAAATATAATTTTGAAGGCATTTATAATATAAAAAAAAAATCTTTAAATGTCTTTACTGTTACTTTGGAACAATTGAATGCATCTTTGAAGAATAAAAGTATTCATGTCTCAAATCAGCCCCAAATCAGCATATTAGAATGATTTCTGAAGGATCATGTGACACTAAAGAATGGCGTAATGATGCTGGAAATTTAGCTTTGCCATCACAGGAATTATCGCATTTTTAAATGTATTAAAATAGAAAGCAATTATTTTAAATTGCAATGATATTTCATAATATTACATTTTTTTACTGAATTTTTAAAGAGCAGAAAATGCAGCCTTGGTGAGCAGAAGAGACTTTCAAACATTAAAAAAATGTAATAAATATACACTGCTAGTTCACGGGAAAGACAAATGTCTCCCCCTTGCGTTATATAGTTGCCATTACAAACAAAATAAAAAAAATTGTATGCTCTACAATGACCTTCTTTTACATTACATTTATACTAATGTTGTTTCCATTTGTGAGGATGAACCAAAACTCATATGAACTATTCTTTATTCACTTTACAGTTAAATTAGCACAGATATGTACATCACAGAAATGCTCTACAGTGAGGCTAACAATACGAACACAAGAGTGATGCTGTTTTTTTTTTCAGAACCAAACAAAGACAGTGATTACTCTATGAACCAATCACATATATTGCATATTGTTTTTGATTTCCCACCCCAAACTTTCCCACTCATCATTGGCTTAAAAAATATAGAGTTGAATAAATACAATTTCTCCAAACATAAAACATCATTCACAAATTAATGTTTCCACGACCATTCAAGGTTAAGTTCTGCATTTATGTCATTGTAAATATAATACACATAATATCTGTAATTATAGGGAGCTACATGTTGTGTTTTGCCAAGCTGTATGAGCTAGGTGCAATATTTCAGATTTCTTCTCACAACATTTCTCATGCTGTAAACTCAACACATATCCATATTCATCAAGAGGACTCGAATCGATTAATTTGGCATAAACACTGAAAGTCTCCAATATCAAATATATGCCAAATACCACCACCATAGCCGCGCACGGCCAGCCGTGAAACTACAGAGAACACTAACGATGATGCAATGTCACATTTATATATCTCAGAAATATCTCAAAGAAAACACCTAAGTTTTGTGTAACACTTAGAATGGTTAAATAGGTCATATCACTACAAATTCTGATAAAATTCGCTGCAGAGCAACAAAGTCAATACAATACACTTGGTGCAGAGAGGGTAAGGTAATGTTTTTTTTTTGTCTTTAGAGGGGAAACTCTCACTTTTGTTCTTCTTTCAACAGACAGGGATTACATGTGGAGGTCACCAGAGTTCCAACAAAGCACACATCAATTCGTTGCTGCTCACAGGTAAACAAACAAACAAACAAAAAACAGGGACTTTATCTTGGTTTTGCGAGAAAAGGTTGACCATACTATCACGTCATGCTTGGTTATTTTCTTTATGCTCCGAGTAGGTATTTGTGTCTCCGCCTGCTTCGTTTAGTCGCTTGTGTTATTTCCTCTTATGTGGTTTTTGCCTGGTCTGATTGACAGCTGTCATCAGTACATCAGACTTCACGGTGGATGGCTCTGTCTGTAAACGTCCATGTCCACAAGCCTTCTCGTGACACACTGAGGTCTTTTACTCCAGGCGCTTCGTAAAGTTTTCAGGAAACAGTCCTTTCTTAGCTGAGCTTCCGTGCTGTTGCCAGTCGCTCTCTCTGATGCCAGTGAGCCAACCAGCATCCTGCAGAGAGAATCAAAGGAGCATTCAAGATTCTGATTATCATAATGTCAAAACAAGAAAGCATCATAAAACAAAAGTTAAAGCCACACTATGCAGGATTTCCGTTTTTGTCAAACTGTGACCCCTAGAGTTGACTTGTACTGTCGTAACTAGCACTCACGCAGAGATGTCTCTGCACTCACGGCCTGATCCCCTCCCCCTGTATACCGGACGGTACCTGTTCAGTAGGATGGAAGCTGTAACGAGTGGAAATAAGGTGTGGTCACTTTAAGAGCTGTGCCCTGTTGAACTGTCGGCAGTCTGTATTGTATGTGCCTCGGCTCGAACACCACATGTATACGGCGCTGGGTTATTTCTTTTTGATGCTCATTTTAGCAGATATTTCTTGCCGTAAAGCAATTCGTTACACGAGACCTGATGTCATGTGACACTTCCTGATGCTGCGGCCAAAATTCAACCCGAAAATAGTCATATAACCATTACAAAAACTGCATAGCGCTGCTTTAAACATTTAAGCAAATCATACCTGATCTTCAGCTAGCTCTGTAGGTACCACCAAAACAATGTCTCCTTTCTTCAGCTCCAGTTCGTCTGGGTTTGCTGCTTCAAAATCATGCAACGTTTCAACCTACGAGCGTAAGAACAAGACTCATTAATACATGTGCATAAAAGCTCTGTTCGTTTTCAGCGCGTTCATCTTAAAGTCACCATAACATCAAAATTGACTATTTTAATTTTTTTTTATGGAATATTGCTTTAATTATTATAAATGATTTATCCGTGCACACTGGTATTGTGCGTATCCCGGTTGCAGCGACATCTCTTCTCAGATGACATGACAGATGTTTACTGGCTGCCCTACATTTTTTTCTGATTCAAGAAGTCGTTCCATTCGGATGTACTTGACAATAGGGAAGAATAGACAATCGTGGTAGCCTATCTAGCAGTCACATGTTTCCTGCGTAAAACATCCACTACTTTCACGTTTCTCTTGTTTCATAAATGCAGTTGTCGGCATCTTTTGTCTCAGTTATCGATTGTAGTGAAAATGACATTAGAGGACTTCAGTAATTAATATTACTCTAGGATTGTAACAGTGTCTGATGTGTTGCTAGGCCAAATGTTTTGTAACCTGTAATGTATTATATATATATATATATATATATATATATATATGTAAGGTAAGAGTAGGTTTAGTCATTTTTAACTGTGCAAGGCTTCTGGGTGTCCGCCGCTTCCAGTTGTAAAAAACAGTTTGTTATGCTGCTTGATACTGCAAACTGATATTTGTTATCATGTTGTTTTAATATATCATCATAATCATGAACACTGATTTGTAGCACAAATAGTTTTATTTTTTACTGCACATTCTTTTATTTATAGTGGCTAATGAATTGGAAGCCCTGCACATTGAAGTTATGGTGGATATGGGCAAAATCAATATTTTCTGGGCCACTGTGATTTTGCCAAGTAAGAAATGTTCCTGGATCAACATATTTTGTTGATCCTAGAAAAACATTCCTGTCTGAAAACCTTATCCCCACCCCACACCTAACCCATAACTTTTCCCTAAAATCAGAGGGAAATGATAGCTAAATAAAACTGATGTTTTATGATGCACCTAACCCTGGTTATTAGAATAAACTTGTCATAAACTGTAAACTTGTCCCTCAAATCTGATTGGTTGATTGGAATGTTATTTCAGCAAAGATGTTGATCCAAGAACATGTTGTACTTGGTAAGATCAGGTTCACCATATTTCCTGACCACGTGTTTACATTTCCATTATTCATTTAGCTGACGCTTTTATTCAAAGCGACTTACAATTGCTTTATATGTCAGAGGTCACATGTGTCTTGCTCAGGGACACATTGGTGTCTCACAGTGGATTTGAATCTGGGTCTCTCACACCAAAGGCATGTGTCTTATCCACTGCGCCATTACCACCCAAACTTAATTTACTTATTTGGCGAGTTGCTGTGTGATTAACAGGATAATGTACAGTCATTCGGTCATTATGGCAAAATAAATGTCTGAAAATGATTGTCCATTATCCCTTACTTCAGTGGTGTTTGCTTTATATTCACCTTGAAAATATATCCAGTAGGCATTCCAGAGGAGTTGTCAATGGTTGATTGGCATCCTGCGATCACCCCATTGTCGATGGATGCGATTGGAGATGTGAGATCACCATCCCGGTCATCATCACCCTCATTACTAGAGGCAGGCTCAATAACAACAGAAGGGATAGGCATCTTCTCCTGAGGTGAGGCAAACAAACAGCATCAATCAAGTGACAAACTTTAAAGGGATACTCCACCAATTTTTCATATTAAACTCTGTTATTCCCTTAACTAAGACGAGTTGATGCATACCTCTCTCGTCTCAGTACGTGCACTCAATCGCTCTGGCGTGCGAGACACTTTGATAGCACTTAACTAGCCCAGTTCATTCAATATGGGCCAAGCAGAGAAACGATCAAACACCTCCACATTTTCCCTACTTAAATACAGGTACACCAGTGACACAAAATAAAATGTTCCACTTTTCTAAGCGTGTAAAGTGGATAACTATAATGTATGGCGAAATACCATAGCTAGAGCTAGCATGCCAGAACAACTGAGTGCACGCACTGAGACGAGAGAAGTATGTATCAACTCATCTTAGTTAAGGGAATAACATAGTTTAATATGAAAAAAAAAACCCCAAAAAAACAGTGGAGTATCCCTTTAAGGTAAGATTTTTAAGTATATTTTTGACC